CACCGGCGCCAACGTTTTGGCTCTCATGGCGACCGAGCCGTGGCGTACACTTGGTCGGCGTCGTCCCACCCTGACCTTCGATCACAACCTTCATCGGCGGGTGCAGACCCCTCTGTGGCGGATCGCGGTGGCGTATGCGGCCCTGGAAAAAGATCACATGATTGCATATTGGGAATCGTCCCATTATCTCGAGATCACGTCGGTGATGGCCGCCGCTGACTCCGATCACTTCACCTACCACCAAGATCGACGTCAGCGACGGATCGGGCCGGAGAGAGTTGGAGGAAGCTGTTGGGGGATGTTGTGGTAATGATGAGGGCCAAGTGGGCTGACATCGACATCCTGCTCGATCCCTATTTCCTCCACCTGCCGACGAAGCAAGATCATCCACCTGCCGACGAAGCAGGATCGGGTGCGTTGGTATCCCGGATCGGTCTCCCGGGCGGCTAATCTCGCGCAACCGACACGAAATCTCCCCGAGCCGATCGACATGATCACGGCCCTGTTTGAGTGTGATCTAGCGGGTCCCTGGAGGAATCACTACCGTGATCCCGGTTCTGTCCATCCGTCGCGAAATATTCCTCGCCTCGTGAACAAGTTCAATCCTCCGGCGGTCCCTCCGGCAGCCCCTTGATCGCCGATCTGGCTTCCACTTTTCGCTCCCCTCCGAGATCTCCGATTTTCTCTCCAACATCCCATTTCGTCCTGGTCGATCTCGTAATCTCCTAATTCAGTCAAATGTTCTACTCGTTTGCTCCTTTCGTTGCCATTCTCAGGTGATCTCTCTTCCTGATCGTCATATTTTCCGTGATCCCTTGCGACGGCGTCTAGATACATATATATATAGCATGAATTCCCGATCTCGGTCCTTCTGACCGATGTTCCCTCGGGGTCGAGGCGATCGAGTAACCTCCCCCGTCCTCCTTACATCACTTCATGTGATTGCATCACATTGAAGCGATTCCGATTGGCCCGCTGTCGCAGGAAGGCGTTCAGTATTGCCCCGCCGTTAATATCGGCTTCGTCAACCCAAGTTGGCTCATCGTATCCTGTCCAATGAACCAGGAATTTCCGACAGATCCGTCCAAATCGGGTCTTCCTCCCACTCCGCACATCCGAAATTTGCTCGACTTCATACTCATCAGCCCCTAGATCTGGGACTCAGCTGTCCTCTGGAAGCGGGATCTCGTCAAAATCGAGACGATCCGCCTCATCAACCGTGGGTTCCACGCGTGGTCGATCCGGAAAGTCCTTGACCAATTTCAACTTCGACACGTGTACCACTGGGAAGGAAGATCTTGTACCCTGTGCCTGCGATCTCGAGCTTGACGCTGAATTCGTTGATCTTTTCAGCGACCCGGAACGGCCCGTGCCATAGGTGAGCCAATTTCCGCGCGTATCCTTCCTTCACTCGATCTAGGTACAACCGGATGCGAGATCCGGCGTCGATCTGGTGCGATCCGACATCTTCGTTTGTCGGTCAGCTCGATCTGCGATGTCCTCCTTTAATCTGGCATTGACCTGTTCCCGGGATTGTTGATAGTATCGTTGGACTCGGTATCTCCATCGCCGCGCGTCTCGATCGCGTCGTCTCGTACATCCGACCGGCAGTGTAGACTCCAGTGTCGATCTCGGATCCCACCCATGTACCAAATAGTGGGGGGTATCACCCCGGATCCGATCGTGAGCCGTATTGATCGCGAAGGTGAGGCGCTCGGCATATTCGTCCCAATCCTTCTGATCAAGATCGCGGACGTACATCTTGAGCGCTCTGGTCGCGGTCTGCACCATTCTCTCAGCCGTCTCGTTAGCCTGTGGACGATATGCCATCGTCGCCCGCTGCCGCTGTCCCAAGATCTTGTTAAACGCCCGGACGAAATCAGACATGAAACCGGATTCTCGATCGTGCCGGATCATCTCGCTGGCGCCAACTCGCCGGAACACGCACTCCTCGTACGATTTTGCAACCGTTTGGGCCGATCGGGACGAGCTGGCTTTCGTGATCACATATACCGTGAACAGATCGACCCAGATCAATAACTCCGTGCTTCCTTTGTGTGATCTGGGCAGCGATGGTATGTGATCCATCGCAATAATCTGGAATGGGTACGTCGCCTGCAAGTTCCCCGGTGATTCACCCCGGATCACCGGTTTTCCATTTCCCGTTTCGCAATCCACGCATTCCCCCACATATCGCTGAACGCTCCGGTATAATCCCCTCCAATGGAAGTGATCCCTGATCCGCTGGTAGGTTCGCCCCACTCCTTGATGTCCCCTTTCCAATGTGGTGTGATAGTGGTGTAAAACGTCCGACTGTAACGTTTCGGGAACTACCAATCTCATCCATTGGTCACGATCGTCTCCCGATCTCGGCGCGGGGGGGG